CCTTTCACACACCCCTTGCTGCACCCCTAGCTCCACTCCCACGTCACCCCCCTAGCACCACTCCCTCGGCTCCCACACACCCACCCCCCTCAGCGGCAGCTGCACGAGTGGGAGACGGAGGAGGAGGAGGAGCAGGTGACGGCTCATACACCCGCCACCCCCATACCCGTCACCCCCATACCTTGAGTGTGCGGTAAGTGAGCTCAGGTATGTGCAAAGCGTGCACAAGCGTGTGGGAAGCGAACTCGGGAGTGCGGAAAGCGAACTCAGGTGTGCGGGGAGGGGGGGGGGCCGCAGGGCGACGCGCGGGTCGACGGGGACGAGCGCACGGGTCCTCAGGGGCGGCGCGCGGGTCGACGGGGCCGCCGCGAAGGGCAATGGGGAGCCGCGCGCGGGTCGACGTGGCCGCCGTGAAGGGCGACGAGGAGCCGCGCGCGGGTCGACGGGGCCGCCGCGAAGGGCGATGAGGAGCCGCCCGCGGGTTGACGGGGCCGCCGCAAAGGGCGACGGAGAGCCGCGCGCAGGTCGACGGAGAGCCGCGCGCAGGTCGACGGGGATGGGCGCGCGGGTCGACGGAACGCAAAACCGTTGCGCATGCCTAGGGTGTGTGGCGGGCAGGAAACCGCCACGCGTCCTGAGCGCATGGCGGGCAGAAAACCGCCACGCGCTAAAAAGTGTCGCGCGCTCGGGGTGCACGACCAGCACAACAGTAGCAACGGAAGCAATAGGTGGGCCCACACGCCAAGAGCGTAACTGCTCTGATTCCATGTCACAATAGTGGTTAGAACAAGGAGCCATAGCTAGGGTTTACCTAGCTAGGCAAGAGAGAATTAGGCAAAGGATGGTTTGACTACAAAGGAGGGAGGTACAAATTGCAATCCCTAAAGGGGTATACTTGTGAGAATCATAAGCATAGTGAGGAGCCATAGCTAGTGTTTAGCTAGCTAGGCTAGAGAGAAATGAACAAAGGAGGGGTTTCATTAGCAGCAGTTGGGATACATATAGCAAACCCTAACAGGGTTGTACTCGCTATAGAGCACCCCACTACAGGCTAGATAATAACATTCTGACACACCCCCATAGCCAAAGTGGGGTGTAATCAGCAGAGCACGCAGTCATAGAGCAGGTTCACAAATGCAAGCAAAGCTAGAGGCTATCACAGAGGGCAAGTGAGGAGGAGGAGGAACTGTGGAAGGAGAGAAGATGGGAGGCAACGACTGAAGCTGCAGAGGCACGGGCACATGAGCGGCTGACTAAGTGGCTACCGAAGCAAGGGCGACGGACTACTGGAGTGACTGGCTCCGCGGCTAAGACGAGCGGCTGGAGCAACGGACCCACTGGCGACTGGTGCAACAGGCTCACTTGCTACCAAAGTAAGGGCGACGGACTACAGTCGCTGCAGGCGACACGACAGCTACCTCCACACAACCTCCTCCAACTGACCCACACCCTTGACACACACCCCCTGCTGAACCCCTAACTCCACTCCCACGTCACCCCCCTAGCACCACTCCTTCGGCTCCCACACACCCACCCCCCTGAGCGGCAGCGGGAGACGGAGGAGGAGGAGAAGTAGCGGAACGGCGCACAGAAAATGCACCCCCATACCCCCCACCCCCAAACCCTAATTCAGGAGAACGGGCAGCTGCATGGGTGGGGCACCGTCATAAGCACGGGGGACAGCGAGCAGCTCAGGGGCAGAGAGGAACGGGCCGCCCACGGGCCTGGCACAGCCCGACGAACTGCGCGTAGGCGGCCCAAGCCGCGCGCGGGCCTGGCGCAGCCCGTACGGGCCGCGCGCGGGCTGGGCGCAGCTCGTATGGGACGCGCTCGGGGCTAGCGCAGCCCGCGCTGGCCGGGACGGGCGACGGGGGACGACGGGCTGGTCCCCGTCGCCCGTCGAAGCGCCCCCCGGGGGCGACGCGCGGACCGACGAGGTAGAAGGCAGAGAACCGCCGCACGCCCCGGGGCGCACGGCGGGCAGAAAACCGCCGCGCGCCTCGGGGCGCACGGCAGGCAGAAAACCGCCGCATGCTCCGAGCGCGCGGCGGGAAGAAAAATCCGTCGCACGCCACGGGGCGTGCCACACACAGAGTAGCAGCGGAAGCAGTTAGGTGGGCCCACAAGCCACGAGCGTAGATGCTCTGATAGCATGTGAGAATCATAAGCATAGTGAGGAGCCATAGCTAGGGTTTAGCTAGCTAGGCAAGAGAGAAATGAACAAAGGAGGGGTTTCACTAGCAGCAGTTGGGATACATATAGCAAACCCTAACAGGGTTGTACTCCCTATAGAGCACCCCACTATAGGCTAGATAATAACATTCTGACAATACTCACTATTGAGTACCCCACTACAGACTAGACAAGCATTATATTCTGACAGTGAGGTGGGTGAGGTGTATTTGCTTGTTCGTTTTCTCGCTTCTTTTCACAACCACCATATCCGACTTCTCCTTTTATCTATTCGACGAGCTGTTACTAGGGAAGACACATCTCTGTTAGTCGTCATCGCCTCTGCCCCCGCAGCCACTAAGTCCAAGTTAGTTCAGTCGCGTCAAAGTGAGGTGAGCTGCACTTCATCCAACTACGCCCCTGTTCGTCATCTCGCTGACGTTTTTACGAGCAATAAGCTCCACCCTTTCGTCATTTTTCTTCGGCAATCTCATAGTTCACTCACAACGGAAGTCACTTGTCTGACTTCTATCTCCTTCCTTCCTGCTGATGTGACTGTTGTCGCGTTTCTCTGTTCACTCCACTATTTTAGCAGTCGTGTTTTTTTGTTCTCGCCGTGCTATAGCAGTCGTTTTTCTTTGTTCTCCCCTCTTTTACTGCAATCGCCAAGTTCAAGTACTTCCAGTCATTTTTATGGCTATGTTGTTTGCCTGTCAGGCACGTTGCCGCCCAGTCCGTTGCATCATCCAGCGTGGTCGGCGTGTCAGAATGGTGTATTTGTCTAGCCTGCAGTGGGGTACTCTATAGCGAGTACAGCCCAATTTAGGGTTTCCCATATTTACTCAACTGCTTGCTAGTGCAACCCTCTTTCTGCTTCTAAACTTTCTGCTTACCTGCGACATGCTATCAGAGCAGGTCGACCCTCCTGGGTCGATCCTGTGGGTGGGCCCCACCTGATGCTTCCGCTGCTCTACTGCCTGTAACGCGCCCCGGGCGCGTGCTGTTTCCTGCCTGCCCCGCGCTCGGGGCGCGCAGCGGTTTTCTGCCCCGTCGAACCGCGCGTCGCCCCCTGCCGACCGTCGCGTCGCCCCCCGTCGCCCGTCGCGGCCCGCGCCAGGCCTGCGCGCGGCCTGTACGGGCTGCGCCACGCCCGCGCGCGACCTGTACGGGCTGCGCCAGGCCCGCGCGCGGCCCGTACAGCCCGCGCGCGGCCCGTACGGGCTGCGCCAGGCCCGTGCGCGGCCCCCCCTCCCGTCACCCGTCGTGGCGCCCTCGGGGGGCCTGCGCCCTGCTCCTTCGTGGCGCCCAAGAGACCCCCCCGCCGCCTCCCTTTCCCTCCGTGACCCGCCCCTGCTGCTTCCCGCGCTCCTGCCTGCGTTAGGGTTTGGGGGTGGCGGGCATGGGGGTGACCGGTGTGGGTAACCTGCAGCTCCTCCTCCTCCTCCGTCTCCCACTGCTGCAGCTGCCGCTGAGGGGGGTGGGTGTGTGGGAGCCGAGGGTTTAGGGTTTAAGGGGGGTGTCGTGGGAGTGGAGCTAGGGGTGCAGCAGGGGGTGTGTGATAGGGGCGTGGGGCAGTTGGCGGAGGTTGATCAGAGTTCGCAATCGTCTCGCCAGCAGCACCAGTAGTCCTAAGGCTACAATCTCCGGTACTCGCCAGTCGCCTGTGGGTCAGTTGCTCCAGTCAGGAGGCTACAATCTCCACGGAGCCAGTTACTCCTGTAGTCTGGGCCCTTGCTTTGGTAGGGCTTAAGCAAGCAGCTCCTGTGTGTCTGCAGCTTCATCAGTCGCCTCCCATCTTCTCGACCCCACAGTCTCTCCTCCTCCTTACTTGCCCTCTGTGATAGCCATTAGCTTTGCTTATCATTGTGAACTATTGCTCTGCATGCTTGTTGTGCTGATTACACCCCACTTTGGCTATGGGGGTGTGTCAGAATGCTGTATTTGTCTAGCTTGCAGTGGGGTACTCTATAGCGAGTACAGCCCAATTTAGGGTTTCCCATATGTACTCAACTGCTTGCTAGTGCAACCCTCTTTCTGCTTCTAAACTTTCTGCTTACCTGCGACACGGCGCATATCGCGGTAAGGGTTGCAATGAAAGTTATTCGGTTTTCCTTCTTTTCCAACCAGGTCGTCCATTTTTTGTCGTCTCTTATTTCAGGATGTCAAGTTTTGCTGGTAAGATACCTTACTTGTTTAAGGCGTTTTCTTGCATTTAACATTCACTTTCAATGTGCAGGCCCCGCACTTCATTATCTTAGCTCCAGACTTAGAACTTGTACTAGATCTTTCAGAACATTAAAGCTCATGCATATTGTGTAGGCTATAGTGGGGTAGCCCATAAGGGGTACAACCCAATTAGGGTTAGTACTTGTACCCAATTCATTCATAGTTCATTCATTCTCGTTTCAATTCTCTCATGGTATCGAGTCGGTTCCCTCGTGGGAACTGTTCCTAGGGCCCACCAATTCGACTTTTTTTTTTCCTGCCCGGAGCGCGCTCAGCCCTAGCCCGAGTCGCGCTCCCCTTTTTTTCTCGCCCCGTCGCGCCGCCCTAGCGGCCCTGTCGCCTGCCTTGCGGCCCTCGCGCCGCCCTTCCTGGCCCCGACCCCCCGCCCGGCGGCCTCGTCGCCTACCTCGCGGCCATCGCGCTGCCCTTTCCCGGCCCCGATCCGCCGCCCTGCGGCCTCGTCTCCCACCCAGCGGCCCTCGCGCCGCCCTGCGGCCCTAACGCCGCCCTTACCGGCGCCTACCTGCTGGCCCCGCCACCTACCTGCGGCCCCGCCACCTACTAGCGGCCCCGCCACCTACCCGCGGCCCCGCCACCTACCTATGCGGCCCTGCCACCTACCTGCGGCCCCGCCACCTACCAACGGCCCCGCCACCTACCCGCGGCCCCGCCACCTACCTGTGCGGCCCCGCCACCTACCTGCTGGCCCCGCCACCTACCTGCTGGCCCTGCCACCTACCTGCGGCCCCACCACCTACCAGCGGCCCCGCCACCAGCCTGCGGCCCTGCCACCTACCCGCGGCCCCGCCACCTACCTGTGCGGCCCCGGCGCCTACCGACGGCCCCGCCACCTACCTGCGGCCCCGCCACCTACTTGCGGCCTCGCCGCCTCCTCCCAGCGGCCCCGGACGCCGCCCTCTCAGCGGCCCCGCCGAGCCGCCCAGCAGCCGAGCCGCCCAGCAGCCGAGCCGCCCAGCAGCCGAGCCGCCCAGCAACCGAGCCGCCCAGCAGCCGAGCCGCCCAGCAACCGAGCCGCCCAACCGCCGAGCCGCCCAGCAGCCGAGCCGCCCAGCAGCCCAGCAGCCGAGCCGCCCAGCAGCCGAGCTACTGAGCCGCCCAGCAGCCGAGCCGCCGAGCCGCCCAGCAGCCGAGCCGCCGAGCCGCCCAGCTGCCGAGCCGCCGAGTCGCCCTGCAGCCGAGCCGCCCGAGCCGCCCTGTCCGGTAAGAGCAGTGCCTCTTTCACAACACTGCCCTCACCCTACTGTTTGCGCTGCTAGTCTACTGCTGTCATGGCTACCCCTAGTGTCCTCGCTTTTGATGCTGAGGGTCGGGCCATTGACTTTGACGTCTGGATAGATGACCTGCAGCTTTTCTTACAGTGCGATAGGGCAGACGGCCTCTTCCTCTTTGACCTCACTTCTGGTGCCTCTCCTGCCCCCGCTGCTGATGCTGACGCCAGTGTTCGCTCACAGTGGGCCACGCGCGATGCTGCTGCACGTCTTGCTGTGCGTCGCCACCTCCCTACCTCTGAGCGTGCGCACTTTAGCCAGTACAAGAGTGCTCAGACCTTGTACGACGCTCTAGTTGCACGCTACTCCTCCCCTGCCACTGCTGCACTGAGCCGCCTCATGCTACCGTACCTCTTTCCTGACCTTGCTGCCTTTCCCACAGTCGCTGACCTCATTACGCACCTCCGCACTAGTGACACTCGCTACCGCGCTGCGCTTCCTGCTGAGTTCTGCGCCAAGAACCCCCCCCCCATGTACATCACCCTCTACTACATAGTCACCCGTCTCCCTGACTCCCTTCGCGTAGTCAGGGACCACTTCCTCTCAGTTTGCCCCACCACTCTCACCGTTGACCTCCTCGAGAAGGCCCTCATAGCAGCAGAAAAGAGCATAGTAGCTGTAGGAGCCTCTCGTGGTGACCCTCGCACCCCCATCTTTGAGGGGTGTTCCCCCTCCCCTCTTTTGCCCTTTGTTGCCTCTGCTGCTGCGGCCGACCTCGTTGGGCTGGAGTCGGTCGGTGCGGCGTCTACCCCTAGTGGGAAGCGTCGCTCTTGCAAGGGCAAGGGGGGCAGGGGCGCTTGAGGAGCTAGCGGGGGCGGTGGAGGCGGCGGTGGAGGCAGTGGAGGGGGTGGGGGTGGTGGTGGGAGTGGTGGCGGGGGTGGAGGTGACGGCGGCTGCAGTGGAGGCGGAGGTGGCGGCGGCGGTGGCGGTGGGAGCGGAGGTGGTGGAGGTGGCGGAGGTGGAGGAGGCGGTGGCGGAGGCGGAGGAGGAGGAGGTCGTGGCTCTTCGCAGAGGAGTGGCTCCGGTGGTGGTCAGCGCCAGCAGCAGCAGCGCAGTCGGGAGACCCTGTCCCCTCAGCAGGTCCGAGAGTGGTACGCTGCACGCCAGCGGGGTGGGGGTACTGGTCCGTGCACCTACGTCCTGAGCACCGGCGACCGTGCGGGTGAGCAGTGTGGGGGTGCGCACCCCACCCAGCGCTGCTTTGGCGGCCTGACGGACGCTTGGCGTCACCAGTTCCCTGAGGCCACTGAGATCCCTCGCTGGGGCGAGCTGTCTAGGGCAAGGGTATCTATCTTTGACCTTGACTTTGATGCTATTCTTGCTGCTATGTATACTGTCTCTATTAGTGAGGAGGGTGACTGTTATCGGTGTTTCCCGCCCGACCCCGGCATTGAGACTGCTGCTCTAGGTGCTGGTGAAGCTGCTGCTCTTGGTGCTTGCGAGGCTGCTGCTCTAGGTGCTAGTGCGTCTTCTTCCTCCAGTACAGGTGAGTCTGCGCTCTCAGGTACTGCATCGGCTTCGGCCTCCCACACCTTCACACTTGACTCGGGGGCTTCTCTCTCCTTCTTTCGAGACCGCACCACACTCACGCCGCTTGGTCGGCCAGTTGCAGTCTCCCAGGCAGACCCCTCCGGGGTTCTGTCCTTGCTCACGTCTCCACTGTCCTCCCGTGTCCGGCGGCCCCCTCTCGCACCCTGTCTTGGCTTTACCTCCCCTCGTTCTTTACAAACTTGGTGAGTGGTGCTTACCTACAGGATGCGGGGGTTCACCAGCTCACTCCTGCGAGTCAGCGGGTGACCCACTGCACGGACGCTCGGACAGGCCGACACCTGGCCAGGTTTACACGTCGGCCGGGGTCGAGCCTGTACACACTGACCACTGCGTCTCCTCCATTCCCTGTGTCTGGTCAGGTAGCTGCGTCGGGTCAGGTGTTAGCTGCAGCGTCCAGGTCTGGTCCTGAGTCTGCCGCCTGCTCGTGTCGCCTCCTGTCTCACGAGACTCTCCTCTTGCACCACCGCCTTGGTCACCCCTCCCTGCTTCGTCTCCGAAGCATGGCCTCCCGTGTCCTTGTCTCTGGTCTTCCCCGGTCCCTCCCTCCCCTTCCTCCGGGGCCTAGCCCTACCTGCGTCCCCTGTATCGAGGGGCGGCAGCGGGCTGCCCCTCTCTCCTCCCAGTTTCCTCCGACAGAGGCCCCGCTGCAGACGCTTCACATGGACGTGTGGGGCCCGGCCCGCGTCCGTGGACAGGGTCACGAGTGCTACTTCCTGCTGGTGGTTGACGTCTACTCGCGTTACACCACATTCTTCCCCTTGCGCAGCAAGGGTGATGTCACTGAGGTGTTGATCGACTGGATCCGCGCAGCTCGTCTCCAGCTCAGGCAGAGCTTCGGCTCGGACTTTCCTGTTCTGCGTCTGCACTCTGACACAGGCAGAGAGTTCTCCTCTGGCCTTCTGCGAGCCTACTGTCGTGCACGAGGCATCCGCCAGACCTTCACGCTTCCGGACTCTCCACAGCAAAATGGGATTGCTGAGCGCCGCATTGGCATGGTCATGGACGTCGCCCGTATGTCCATGATGCATGCGGCTGCCCCCCATTTTCTGTGGCCGTTTGCGGTTCGGTACGCGGCGCATCAGATCAACCTTCAGCCCAGGGTCTCCATGCTGGAGACCTCCCCAGCTTTGCTGTGGACCGAGAAGGTTGGTGATGCATCTGCGTTCTGTGTCTGGGGATCTCGGGCGTTTGTCCGCGACTTGTCTGCGGACAAGCTGTCCCCTCGTGCTGCTCCTTGTGTCTTCCTGGGTTTCCCCCCTGACGCGCAAGGGTGGCAGTTCTACCACCCCACCTCTCGCCGTGTTCTCTCCTCCCAGGACGTCACGTTCGACGAGTCGGTCCCCTACTACCGTCTCTTCCCCTACTGCACTCCGTCCCTTCCCCCGCCACTGCTCTTCCTTGTGCCAGGTCCCCCCCCGGTAGACCCCCTCCCCCCTCAGGGTCCTGCCCCTTCTGGTTTGTCCCAGGTAGACGCTGTTGAGCCTATCGAGGTCGCTGGTGACTCTGGTGCTGCTGAGGGTGCTGAGCCTGGGGGTGCTGACTGTGGGGGTACTGCGCGCGTGGGTGCTGAGCCTGGGGGTGCTGCGTCTGGGGGTGCTGCGACTGGGGGTGCAGAGCCTGGGGGTGCTGAGCGTGTGGGTACTACGCATGGGGGTGCTGAGCCTGAGGGTACTACGACTGGGGGTGCTGAGCATGGGGGTGCTGAGTCTGGGGGTGCTTGTTGAACAAGAATGGATGAACTAAGAGTGAAAATGAGTACAAGTATCAAAACCCAGGAATATGTACCCCCTATAGGCTAACCCACTATAGCCTAAACAACTACAACAACATATATAATGTTTGACACACCCCCATAGGCGAAGTGGGGGAGAACTAGGGGTCACAAGACCAGTCAAGTAAAGCAAAACAAAGCAAGCTCAGGGTGGATCACAACGTCACCACACAATCCGAGCACAAGTGCAAGGCCACAAGGCCAGTTCACATGCACGAGTACAGATATATATATATAAGACTAAACAAGCAAGAGCAGTGATATATATATATATAACAGTACAAAGAGGGTCAAGAGGAGAGCAAGTGAGGCAAGACAGACACAAGACCCAGCTGGGTACAGCAGCGCTGATGATCACAAGGCGGAAGTGCCTTGGTGAAAACATCAGCAGTGTTGGCCTCAGAGGCCACGTACGCAAGTCGCAACTGACCACGCTGCTGTAGCTCACGAGCAAGGAAGTAGCGGAGAGCAATGTGCTTTGTTCTGTGCTCCAGTCTCTGCTCCCGACACAAGGCCAGCATGGCCTTGTTGTCGACGTACAGGACTGGAGGAGAAGGAGGCGGCTCTCCAAGGTCGGTCAGCAGGTAGGTGAGCCAGCGAAGCTCCTGAGCAGCCATGGCCCCTGCGTAGATCTCAGCCTCACAACTGGAGCCGAGAACAGAAGACGAGCGAGTAGCCCGCCACGAAACAGAGCCGGAACCAAGGCTGAAGGTGTAACCCTGTGACGACCGCTGCGTAGCCTGGTCGTCAGCCCAAGAAGCGTCTGCGTGTCCAGTGAGGACCACTGGACTCCGCCCTCCAAGCACTAGCCCCATGCGCGACGTACTGCACAAGTAGCGCAACACCCTCTTCGCTGCAGCCATGTGCTCTGGTCGGTGTCTCCCAGGAGCAACATAGCGTGCAAGAATGCTAAGAGTGTATGCAAGGTCAGGTCGTGTGCAGGTCATCAGGTACATGAGACAGCCAACAAGCTCTGGGTACGGGCCACTCGACTCTACGGACTCATCCGAAGGCAGAGCTGAGAGCGAGTGGCGAGTAGACAGAGGAGTGGCCTGAGGCGAGGAGTACGTGAAGCCGAAGCGCTGAAGGACCTGCTGCACCATGTGTGAATGAGTCAGGGTAATGGTGCGGCGTGCTCTGTCCCGGGTGATCTGCAAGCCAAGGTAGCTGCGCAGTTCACCCTGGTCAGTGCACGTGTGTCTCTTCTGCAGCTCGGACTTCACGTAGGCGATTCCAGTAGTGTCAGCTGTGGCAAAGACCAAGTCGTCGACGTACACGAGGATGTAGAACGGCGGCTGAGAGGTGTCGGTGCGCAGAAACAGCGACGGGTCGGAAGTAGACGGAGCGAACCCAAGAGCCGCAAGCGTAGTCCTCAGTGTGTCGTGCCACTCACGTGGCGCCTGGCGGAGACCGTAGACTGGACGCCGGAGACTCCACTGGGTACCAGGAGGGAAAGACCCAGTGAAGCCAGGTGGGCGGCGCAGCCAGATCTCCTCGTGCAGGTTGCCCTGGAGGAAAGCTGTGCTGAAGTCGAGAGAGTGCAGCTCGTAGTCCTGGTGAGCAGCAACGTGCAGCAGTACCCGAAGAGTGGTCATCTTCGGGGTGGGGGAGAAGGTTTGAAAGTAGTCAACTCCCTGTCGCTGACTGAAGCCACGAGCCACGTAACGCGCCTTGAAGACAGGCGGAGAACCCGGCGGCCGCTTCACCCTGAAGATCCACATGCCACTCACGATGTTCGCTCCAGGAGGGGGGACAGCGTCAACGTAGGTGCCTGTGGACTTCCAGGAAGCCATCTCTGCATCCATAGCTGCCTGCCACTGAGAGGAGTAGGGACCCTCTATCGCCTCCGCGTAAGAGCGCGGAGTCGGGATGTCAAGTGCATCCGGGTCTCCCTCAGGGGTAAGTAGTATGGACACGAGATGAGGTGAAGCAGCTGCCAAACACTGGAACTCCTCCTGCCTGTCCTCAAGGACGTCCGTGCCAAGGGCACACTCACCCCCGACGCACGGAGGACAGAGAGACTCAGACTCAGCGACAAGACTAGCAGCGTAGTCTAAGCGACAGCGAGCAGCAAAGTCGACAAGCTCAGTAACGAGAGCGGACGCAGCAGTAGACTCGAAAGAAGGGTCAGTGACAACAGTAGCAAGGAGACGCGTGACAGTAGGACTGGCAGCACGAAGAGAGTCCGACTCAGGGTCGGCAAGAGCAGGAAGAGAGGACTAAGGAGGGGAAGGCAAAGGGGCACGCAGAGGAGCAGTAGACGGACGTAGAGACATCCGGTGCGTGCCAGGGGCAGGAGGAGGACGCTGGCGCGAACTACGAGCACTAGCGCTAGCATGACGGACAGGCGACGCCGGACGAGACGCAGACTCACGACGCTCAGTAAGACCGCTAGTAGGACCAGTGTTAGGAGAAGGAGCAGGTAGTGGGGAGGCCGGCTGCAGCTGTAACTCTGACGGGACAGGCTGTGAACACGCTAAGGGAGGAGGACCAGGAGGAGGCGAGAGACCAAGAACTTGCTGAAGGAGCGGAACGAAGTACGGCTGAGGGCGCGCGGCGACTCCAGACACAGCAGGGACAGCACGTGTACCCCCAGCGGCAGTACCAGAACCAGCAGCAGTTCCAACGCCCAGGTCCTCTGTACTAGCCTCTGCACCAACGCCCGAGTCCTCGGCACCAGCAGTGGCTCCAACACCAGGGTCCACAGCACCTGCCGCAGCTCCAACGCCCGGGTCCTCAGCACCAGTAGGGACTCCGACACCAGGGTCCACAGCACCAGCCGCAGCTCCAACGCCAGGGTCCGCAGCACCAGCCGCAGCCCCAACGCCCGGGTCCTCAGCACCAGCAGCACCTTCAACCCTCGGGTCCGCAGCACCAGCAGCAGCTCCAACGCCAGGGTCCGCAGCACCTGCAGCAGCTCCAACGCCAGGGTCCGCAGCACTAGCAGCAGCTCCAACGCCCGGGTCCGTAGCACCAGGGGCAGCCGGGTCCGTGAGACGAGGCGCACCACTCCGAAGTGTGCAACGGCGCTCGTACCACTCACGGATCCGCTCACGAGAGGGGAGCTCCCGACTAGGAGGAGAAGTACCAGCCCCAGTCCCTGTAGTGCGCCTGGTCCCAGAGGTAACACTCCGGAGGCTGCAGTACTGTAAGTACCACTCACGCAACTGCTCCGAGGAGAGGTCGCGTCCAGGTGTAGCACCCTCAGGCCCAGCACCGCATGGCTCAGCACCCCCAGTCACCGCACCCCCAGGCTCAGCACCCCTAGGCTCAGTACCCCCAGTGTCCGCACCCCCAGGCTCAGCACACCCAGAGTCCGCACCCCTAGGCTCAGCACCCCCAGAGTCAGCACCCCCAGGCTCAGCACCCCCAGTCTCCGCACCCCCAGGCTGAGCACCCCCAGCAGGACGAGAGTCGACAGCAACCTCAACAGGCTCGACCGGGTCTACCTGAGACACACCTGAGGGAGCGGCACCCTGAGGGGGGAGGGGGTCTACGACAGCAGCACTTGGCGCGAGGAAGAGAGGCGGGGGTGGGAGCGGGGCAGTGCGTTAGGGAAAGAGGCGGTAGTAGGGGACAGACTCGTCAAAAGTGACGTCCTGAGAGGGCAAGACCCGGCGCGAGGTGGCGTGGTAAAACTGCCAACCAGGCGCGTCCGGAACAAAGCCGAGGAAGACGCAGGGAACAGCACGAGAGGAGAGCTTGTCCGCAGACGAATCGCGGACAAAAGCTCGAGATCCCCAGACCCGGAAACGCGACGCATCGCCAACCTCCCCCGTCCACAGCAGTGTGGGCGAGGTCTCCGGGAAGGAGACACGGGGCCAAAGGTTGAGCTGATGCGCAGCGTACCGGACCGCAAACGGCCACAGAAAGTGGGGGGCAGCCGCATGGATCAAGGAGGTACGAGCGACCTCCATGACCAGGCCAATGCGGCGCTCCGCAACCCCATTCTGGTGTGGAGAGGCCGGAAGCGTGAACGACTGCTCAATGCCGTGCTCAGCACAGTAGGCTGCCAAGAGGTCGGAGGAGAACTCACCACCTCTGTCAGAGTGCAAGTGCAGGACAGGAAAGTCCGAGCGGAAACGCTCGCTGAGCTGGAGACGAGCTCTGCGGATCCAAGGGATCAAAACATCAGGGACCTCACCCTTGGCTCGCAAGGGGAAGACTGTGGTGTAGCGCGAGTAGTCGTCAACAACGATCAGAAAGTACCTCTCCTGACCCTTACCACGGACGCGGGCTGGGCCCCACACGTCCATGTGGAGCGTCTGCAAAGGAGCAGTCGTCGGGGGAAACGAGGAGGAGTGAGGAGCGGCGCACTGCCGCCCCTCGACACAGGGAAGACAGGGAGGAGCAGGCGAGGGTGGGAGGGGAGGGAGGACCCTGGGAAGACCAGAGACAAGGTACCGGGAGTGCATGGCACGAAGGCGCTGCACAGACGGGTGGCCCAGTCGGTGGTGCCAGAGGACAGTCTCGTGCGCTAGAGAGCGACACGAGCAGGGGGCGGAGAGCTGACCTGACGCGGACGCAGACGCAGACGCAGCGACCTGAGGGGGGGCAGTAGTCAGTGTGTACAGATCCAACCCCGGCTGCCGGGTGAAGGTAGCCAAGTGGCGGCCTGTACGGGCACACGTGCAGTGTGTGACACGCTCGTAGGCAGGGGTGAACTGGTGAACACCCGCGTCCTGTAGTGCACAACCTGCCACCAAGTTCGTGCACAACGAGTGGAGGTGGAGACCTGACAGTGTGCCCGACGGGACCGCAGGACAGGGAAGGACAGTGGAGGAGGTCGCAAGGACCGGACCCCCAGAGGGGTCAGCGAGGGAGACAGCAACTGGCCGAACAAGGGGCTCAAGGGCAGTGCGGTCACGAAAGAAACAGCGAGAGGCACCTGAATCCAGTGTGAAGGTGTGCAGTGCTGCAGTCGACACAGTACTAGGGGGGGCAGACGTACAC